AGTGTCATTAGCAACTTTCCAGCCTCAGACTGCCTTACTCTCAGCACCTTCCCTTCCTCTCCATGTTCTGAGGAGCTTCTCCTTTCCCTGCTTTCCCCCATTCCTTGCCTCCTCTGCCTGCTGCCACTGCTGTTCCCACTGTCCTACATTGAACAGAAGCAACTCTGGAGCTCCCCCATCTGCAGATCAGCCAGGGGCAGCAGTGGGCACAGGAGGGGAAGTGCCATTGAGTATGGAGGGCAAGGAAGGGAGAAAGCAATTATTTGTTTTGGGGATTTAAAAAAGTCCCTGACTGCTGCACCCAAAGCATGGTCCAAAAGGGTGATGTGACCACACCACTATACTCTCTCTGGACTTCCCCCTGACTCATCAGAATGGTTAAAAATTATATCAGGAGTATGGTAGCAGAGATGTTTAATGCAAGTAATAAGATAATATTGTTATGTAAGATCCTTTCACAGGTTATTGGAAGGACTTCTATGCAATGAAGAAAAAGAGAATCTGTTTCATATTCTTTCCCAATATGAGTTATGGAAACTTCAACTACTGAAAAAAATCTTGGAAAACTGTAGTAAGAATATATCTCAGGTGTTTGTAATGTTGTGCAGTGAATGATTTTCTCTATTACTCGTCAAATGTCAGAGAAATCTTGCAATGATATTAACAGGAAAAGATCTTCCTCTTCACTTTGTAAGGGGCAGATCTTAATTTCATAATCATGACTCTTGTAACAACCTCCACTAGCAAAACCATAAAAGGCATGACAACACACATGAACAAAATGTGGTGTCGCAGCAGTTTCCCATGGAATATTTGATTCAATTAGCCAACATCAGCCTGGGCTGAGCATGACCCAATTATACAGCCTGCAGTAGTTTTTGAAGGTACTGCATGTCTTTTGGCAAGTAGTGACATAGGGTTTAGTCAGCAGAAGAAATAATCCAGTCCAAATGATAACACAATCATTCAGGATAGTACTGGAAGTATGAACTCCAAGACTGGATTTAACAACATATGATAACCCCAAAAAATCTGTTACTAACAGCTGAGTTTTTAAATCTCTGGAACATTAATTCCTCAATGGAATATTTCTGTTAGTTCCTCCAGTGGAAAGGAGCTGTTTCAGGAATCCATTAGATTTTGGATCTCTGCAATTGGCCCAGGAGTTTATCATTATATACTGGTCTGAGAAATGATTTATTTCACCAACTACAAAACAAAGCAGAGTATTGTAGTATACCATTTCCATTTTATTCAGATTGATTCACTAGTAGAAGTAATAGTAATAGAAGGTAAATCACATATTTGCTGGAACAAATCATCACTATATGCATCCAGAAATGCCATCATCCAACAGGGTTCCCTGCCTTCTAACATCCAATGACTATAAGGTTCACACTTGCACCATAAAATAATATTTACAATTAATATCACATCAGACCATTACAAAAATAGAATTTCAAAATTCTAACTTAACATACAGCATTTGCTACCTGCCAGTTTGTTACCTTTGTTCTACCACAGAAGTACTTGTTTTGCCTGTATATTGATGGCACATTGGCTCAACAAACCACAGGACAATATTCTAAGCCCTTACCACACTGTAGAATGCAATTCAAGTCTTGCCACTGCTGGTATTTGATTCAGAAAACAGAGAGAATGCCTTAAAAGTCCAGAAATGTATGCGTTTAAAGAAAGCATCATGAAATCACAATGTTAATTATCTTTCTTAATTGGTAGGTATATTAACATTTTGAATAGAGAATGTCCAAATGCATAAGAATAATTCTCCTGTTCCAATAGATATAATACAAATCTGAAAAACAGATTTATGAAAAACAATTTTACAAAAGCTATTACATTTTGTCTTAGAAAACAACCACCAATCTGAAATGATCTACTACAATATTTGGGAATTATCTTTACTTGTTTACTTAGAAGCAACTTAAATAAACATGGGTTTGCAACATCTCATCAGTATCCTCATACTTGCAATGACTATTCATCACAGGAAAAAACTATGATGCTTTAGTAAAACTCTTTATGCAGAAGTATATCAATGCTTATGAACAGTGGAAAACCTGGCTGCACAGTTCAAAAGTCCTTAAATTAATGAGTCTAAATTCAAGTATATTACACATGTTTTCAGTAACTCTTGTTCACTGCTAAAATTAAATTTCCATCACTAAAATGCTTTAATTTTTAAGAGCAGCTATCCCTGATGGCAAAATATTAAAAACTGTTTTATTTGTATATATTCTGAGCAGACTGGTGGTAAAGTTGGTCATTTGGTTACTGTTACTAGATTCATATACATGACAATGGAATCTTTATTTCTTTTACTTATTTTCCCCCTGAAATAGCAATGCTGCCTGTAACACTGGGGTTAGAGACATGTGGGTGGGGAGTGGGAATCAGTGACTGGAGCAAATTAATGCCGATAGAAAAAGATAATGTAAACTGTTTGTGGTTAGGAAAATAACTGAAGACAAATATTTTAAAAAATGAGATATAATTGCAAAACTGACTCCCAGGGGCATGTTGCCAAAGTTTTCTACTGTAGATATGAGAGTTTATTTTAGAAATGACACTCAGGAGCAACTCAAGGTTGCATACTGGAGCTTTGTTTTCTGAGTACAAATTGTGGGCACTGATCATTGTAAACAGGCAGCAACATCAGATATTCACCCTACATCAACAAAAACAAATTAATATAGAGAAGCTCAATGCAGGGGTCAGGCCTTTTCTTTCCTTTGTTAGCCTAAAATGTAAGTTATAACTTCTAAAGGGAGACACTGGAAAGATGCTGAAATACAGAAGTGTAACTAGGGCTGGACAACTGGGGCATGAGCCCCAGGCAGTCACTATGGGGGAAGGTGCCAGAATGGTGAGAGGAAGCTGGGCTCAGCACGGGCTTACCCAAGGGCTGGAAGAGCTCCAGCTGCACATATGGGGGCAAGATTTTTGTTGTTAGCCTCATTCCCCCTTTCCCAGCTGAACAGCCAATAACTACTGGACTAACCCTTCCACAGCTGCCACCTGCCCCAACACCCTGTGGCAGGAACCTCCAGTTCCTGGGCAAGCCTATGCCATGGCAGGTAGTCCCCATGGCATAGGCTTGCCCATTGGCTTGTGCCCCCATCCTGTTCTTCTGCACTCAGTGAAAATTCTTCCCTGTCCCACCCCTGACCAGGGCACAGAAATAGCTAGCTATGCCTCTGCTGGAATACACTGTTATAGGTCATGTTTCAGGTAAAGTTGAAATAGTTTCAGCTTGTTAGCTCTTTGTGGCAGGGGCAGGCTTTTAATGCGTTTGTACAGAGCTGTACACAATAGTGTCTCTGCCACTACAATAGGAAGTGCTTTGAGAAGTCTATCAAATAAATAAAATTTTAAGCCCACTGTAGGTTAAGGCCATGTGTAGAAAAAATGAGGGACATGTGTGGACAACACTTTAACGTGGGCTAAATGCTTTTGTACCTCAGCGGCGTATTGCGCGTTAATTCCAGCCGCTGTAGGAAATTCGGCAGCGTAACTCACCTTAAATGACTTAGGGCACAGCGAACTAAAACTTCTCCAAGGAGTTTTAGTTTGCTGCCCCTACTGCTGCAGAGTGAAGCACCAGGCTCTGTGCAGCTCCGTGACTCTGCAGGAAGCCGTGCAGGCAGCCTGGCAGCATCCCGGGAAGGCAGGCTCTGCACAAGAAAAGCAGCGAACCCCATTCCTCCCCTCTCCCTCCCCCGCCGGATCCTGCCTGCCTGAGCTGTGCAGAGGCCTGGTGCTTCCCTCCGCAGCTGCGGTGCCTCCTGGGACCGCCCGAGTTTGGTGACTGCAGGCGGATGCTGCCTTTGGGGGGGGGAAATGGAAGTTCTTGTTGTGCTCAACTGCTTTTCCAACATGTGAAAGTTGCACTGAAATTTCACTTGAGTTACTGGAACTTGAGGCAACGTGAGTCACAAAGATAATTTGTTTAGCACAGTGGAAAGTAGCTGTTAACTACAGAGGGAACTGCTTGTTAATTAAGATGCTGCAGCTGCAAGCGTGGAGCAACACATAGCATTTGCCTCTCAGGGAAGCAGTAGGAAGAGTAAAAAAAGTAAGCAAAGCCAAAACAGTATAGTTTTGCCAAGTCTTACAGAACTTATAGCTTTAAAAAACTGGCATATTTTTTTGAAGGACCAAGCAAGCGTTCATCACTTAAGTTACTCAAGGATGATTTCCTCACTTCAAGAGAGATTATGCAGCAAGACAGAGGGACTGGAATAAACATGTCCAAAACTGAAACTGTGAGGAGTACAAATTGACCATTGAGCAGCGTGGTTTGTCTGCACTTTTGAGGAAGATGGGGTCATAAGCTAAAGATGACTACAGGGAATTTTACGGGGTGGGTCCATTGAGAAAAATGATGGTAAAATGGTGTTTGGGGTTCCTTGTCTATTGAGTCTTAATACCTTATATATCAAATGTGCTCAGTTGATATGTAAAAAAGATGCTAACAGAACGAATAAGCAGTACTCTAAGTTATATACAAAGTCAATAAAAGCATTCATATCAACAGCAGTAGGCAGGTTAGCAAATTAAACTTCAAATTCAGGAAGCTGATTGATGGAATGTCACCTGGTCTCTGAAATTTTACCATCTCAGGAAAGTGTCGGAAATCCCGATTGAAAAATAAAATGGAGTTGCTGGTAATCAGAGAGGTTTTTGCAAGTCAAGATGACAGCAAAATGCTATATCACAGATGCTAGCACATATCTAAACAAGACATTCAGACTGATTGTGAAACCCTCTTTCTGTACACATACTTTCATACATAAAACACATCTGAGGAATCATGATGAAGCAGATACATGCAATGCTCTTACATTTCCCTGGGCCAAGAAAGATATGAGTCAAATTTTCCAGTCTCTCAATGATATGTCAATTAGACTGCTTACATTCTCCTGTGCTAGACATAAAAGACAGTTGCAAGCTTCCAACAAAAATAGTAGGGGTGATGAAAGGACAATGTCTTGCCCACTTGTAGATATAAGTTATACTCCTGAGTAACTAATAATATGGAGGCAGAGAGAGACTAGACTGGCATCAGAAAATGGGGATAGACTTTGCTCTCATTTCATCAACTGCTCATGTTGCTTCCCCATACTGCTGTGGGTTGGGGGATGGGGGAAGAAATCCTAGTCAAATGCAGCAGGAAACAGCTGTCCAGTCCTTGCTCACAGCTGTGCGCATCAATATTTGTTCCTCCAGGAGCTGAAGCAACTCTTGATTCAAGGAGGAAGGAAAGAGGACATCTCAGTCTGAAATACAGCATGAAAGTTCTGGAAAAGGGAGAGAGAATTAGGGTCAGGATTGACAGCTAAATCCAAATTGAGATTCGGAAAACTGGCATAACTACTTTCAAATAGCTAACAAGGCAAATTTCAGTAGATACAAGGTGACTTCCTTTGTCTGTTAGAAATCCCATGGACACCGGCTCTGATCCTTGTCAAAGCACAGAAGGTCCTGCCAGCAGATGGGGAATCCATTAATCCAAAAGATTTTAGCTTAAAGAACTCATACAAATAATTAACAATAATCAACAGTCATCATGACTGTGTTGTATTTTTCCATAGCCTAGGGCAAACCTCAACTGTTGCTAAGTTCTCTTGTTCACAATTCAGAAGTTGGAGATATGATCACTAAAAGCGAGCTGAGATCCTGCAGTATGAATAGAAATACATTATTTTTATATTTCAAATGTGTAACAAGTGTTTTATAATTTCTCAGAAGAAACTAAAGGCCAAGATCTTTTTAGACAGCTGAGTCTTCTTGGCATCCTTTCTTTGACCCAGACCAGTAAAGCATATTGTAGCCTTTGTGATTTTCTGTGCAAAGAATCTTATTTTCTAGAAGGGACTCTTCTTTACTACTAAGAAGTGCTTTTAAATTACTTAGACTGTCTTGGGGATTTGCAGGAATAACAATAGAAAATATTAAAGCAATTGTACCTCACAGAGGAGGTAAAAGCATTTGTGCTTGAGGAAGACTCCAAAAAGACTGTAAACCTTCCAAAAAATACCATGGCAAAGGTTCCTGGTAGATAATAAAGTATGGCACAGTATGAAGAATTAGGGTGAATAAGGTGAATTAGGGTGAATGACACATGCCTCTGGATGACTTCTTTAAAAAGGATAAGTTTACATTTCCTTGTGCAATTTGCACTACAATAAATTCTGCAGGATGAACAACATAATTCATAGGTGGTTTTGATTAGAATATGGATAATTCTATGAATTCATGCAGAAGAATTAAAAAGTACCACAAAGAAAAGTGCAAATACATGCACTTTAATGTCAACTTACAGCATTGTTTCATGTCAAAAGTACAGTAAAATCTGTTGTCTGATACTTCACCAAACAGAATACTCTATTAACCGGAGTTTCTGGCCAGCCGGCTGGACGTGTGGAGCAGGGAAAGCTTGCATGCAGCTGCCGCCCCCCCCCCTCCCCATGTTATCTGAAAACTGTGCCAGGTTATTTCAGATAACCAGAGTTTTTACATAACCGGCAATCCTCTGGGGAGGCCGGATAACAGAGATTTTACTCTACATAGCATTACTTAAAATAAATTAGTTAAAGGTGGACTATAAAACTTTTCTTCTTTGAAATCATTGTAGTAGTATTGGTTATACAGCAGAGAATTGATTTTAAATATACAGAAAAATATATATGAATTTAGTTCTGTCTTTGAAACATTGTTCCTTGGTTTCAAAGTTTCAGGCTAAAATTTGAATTCCCACTCTTTCAGTTTTTGATGCTCTACCATACAACAGGCTTCCAGGCCTTTTCCATATGAAAGTACCTACAATAGTTGGGGCCTGAAGTTGGAACAATTGAGTTCGGGAGGTTAGTTCCCATAGGGAAATGGCATTTATCATTCTTTCACAAAATATACAGTCTTCTGAATTCCTACATTCCATTGGTCATTTCCTGATGGGCTTGTCTATTCTTTCTGCCTTTTTCTTACAAAATCTGTCAGTTCTTGTATGAGAGATGGTCTGGCAGATTTTGAGCGCGGCTGAGAAGACAAATGGCACAAAAAACTTTCCTGACACTCACTCATGTTTTTTTCTGATTTGTAGGAAGATCTAGTACTAGCCATGAAAAAAGATAAACAAAAAAAGACAAAGCCCAAACACTCCTTTTCAAAGATTAGCAGATGAGCCACAGAATTAGTAATTTATTACAGGGAAAAAAAGATGCATCCTGCTATCATACCCTGGACTTGTAAAGAGTTAAGAGATGTTTTTTCTTCCTTTAATCACTGACTTTCTAGAGCAATACTTAAAGCACCCATTTTCAATTTGTCTTTTCCAACTCTGCAGCACCTCTGTTGCTGTTTCTGTCAGTGCAGTTACATTTTACACAGAATACAGATAGAGTCTAAGTTAATGGCTCAGATCAGGACCAGATACCTGTCAAAAATTCCCACTCTCAGCTGTTAGCACCAAGGAACAAAGTCTCATAATCTCAGTCTAGAAACCTACTTTCTAGGAACAATGTGCCCAGAGCACAAAGACCACCATCCCAAATAACATTGATTGGTCTCCTTCTTAAAATACAGTAGATAAATTTTAAATTAATTACCACTGACGTATCCTGACACCCCACTAATGATGTATATCAGGGCTAAGTACAGACAGTCAAAAAACCTGAGGCTGAATCAATTCAATCTTCAAGTTAGTCTAAGCTGTGGAGATTGAACTGATAAGCGAGTGAACAGACATTCACTTTTGATTCTGGAAATGCAGCCACATGCCTGCTGTGGCCTAGGCCAGAAGGCGGTGGGGGGGAAGGGGGAGAAGAGGTACACTAGAGCCTGCCTCCCTGCTCAGCTGGAGCAGACAGCTTAAATCTGGAAGGGATCTGGGGCAGAAGTTCAATAAACTGATTTAATCTAAATCTATTAAGTCTAATACTACATCCATCCAGGTTTATCTTAAACTGGCTTTGGTCATTTTGAAAGCAGTTTATGTGCACTGAAATTCTGTTTTGATACAGATTTGAACCAGTTTCCAATCACTTATACCGGTTTATGTGTAATTTCTGTCCCTAGCCCAATGGTGAAATGTTGAAAAACTTTTGTTGTAGTATCCAATAGTACAGACTCATAAATTAACAGACATCCTCAGTCTCGAGGAATGTAAGCCTAGCATCTTTTATAAGCACTACATTCTTTAAACAAACAATTAGACCATGTACCAGCAATTTTCCTCTACCCATTCTTCCATACCCAGCTAAAAAAAAGTGGTCAGAGGGATGGTACTCTCCTAATCGAACGCAACATTCTTAAAAAGTCCCTAGTTCCACATTTATCTCATACATCTTTGAGTCCCTATACTTGGCAAAATAATGAGACTTGTGAAAATACAGTAAGTGGTCTTAACTCCATATAATATATGTTCTTTAAAACACATCAGTCCTGAATATGTATTTACACAAGCCTAAATGGTGTTTACCTGAGAGGCCTAAATTGCTCCATATTTTATGCAAACATATTTATATAGCTCCCTTTAAACAATTTTTCTAATAGTCATGAATGTTCAGGTTTGCTTTTTGAAACGTATCTCTTTTATGTCAATAAGTTTTACTGACATCATTTTGTCTCCTTGTTTCACCAAAGACAACATAGCCTCTCAACAAAAATTTTCTGTTAATGCTACACCACAACACTAATAATAATTGACAGTCATTTATACTCAATTAGAAAGGTCTGTACACTGTAATGCAATTATAAAAAATATTTTAAAGTGAAATAGGACATGATTGTAGATGTAACTGCACAAAAACAAGATACTATTCCAAAGCTTTTCTAATCATTATTGTTCTGCATTTGAAAAGAAGCATAATGATGTATTCATATCTCACAGTAAAAAGGAAATATGTTTTATTTCATCATTAACAAGGGAGGATGTTAAACAGCAACTATTAACCATTTCTATATCAAAAGGCCCATAACCTACACTTAAGAACATTAAAAGTAGGTCAAAGAACTCTCAACCATTAATAATGATTTTTAACACATTTTGAAACACCTGAGAACCTAAAGAATGAACTCCAATTTATAAAAAGGGGTAATGGGATGATGCATAATCATAACCTAACACTGATCACAAGCAAAATCACAGAAAGTCAGAGAGATATAAGCTGTAATCAGGAACAAGTTAAAGGATGGTAGAATAATTAACACCAATCAAACAGGTTTTTTATCAAAAAACCTTGAAATTATTTTTGATGAGATAAGAAGTTTGGTTAACAAGGGTGCGTCTACACATAGGAAGGAAGTTTTAAAGCATGGTGCCATAGCAATGTCATGGTATGGTGATGTGTAGACACGCCGCAAAGGTAACATCATAAACTTAGACTTCTGTGAGGCACAGACTTAGTCCTATCTGACAGTCTGATAAAAAAAATGTTAGCAGGTAGCCCATATTAATTGATTAGGAACTCCTTAATTACAGGTCTCAAAATTATTTTAAAATGGGAAACCATTTAAATCATGTTCTAATGAGGTCTGTCATGAACTGGGGGGTTGTGGGGTGTCACGTAGGTTTTCTCGAATGTATTTTGCCAATGTGTCATTGGCAGTCTCTACTTATAGGTAACATCAAGGTGGATATAACCTTATCGTCCTTATGCTTCTATGCATTGTAGTTTTGGATATAAAATGTACACAGCCAGGATTGCACAATATGATAATGACTTCCAAGTAACAAACAGTAAGTTTCTTTGGCTCCTCAGAGAGACTCAAAGCCTGAATGGCTGAAGACCCTTAAGGCTAGGAACAGACATTACACATACACCAGTTTAAGTAATCAGAAACTGGTTTAAACCTGTAATAGAATAGATGTTCAGTGTACATAAACCAGTTTGAGAATGGCTGAAGGCAGTTTGAAATAAACCTGGTTGAATGTAGTATCAGACTTAACTGATTTGGCTAAAACTGTTTTATGCAATGTCTGTCCCAGGCCCCTTGCTGGTTTAAATTAAATCAAACTGCACCAGCATCCCAGCATGCTCTCTGGGCTGGGCAGGGCTCTCTGCTCCACAGCAGGGCTGGCCCCTCCCCTCTGCTCCCTGGCTGCAGTCTCTGCAGGTGTCTGCCTGACTTCTGCTCACTCCCCGACTAAGCAGTAGGCCTGTGTGAAGTGGCTAGTATTCGCTTCAGATTCAGCCAATTTGTGGGATAGTGATTCGAATCACTGTCCCAAATTGATTTGGCCGCAGCCGAATCGGCCAAATCTCTGAATCAGCCCCATCCCCTGCCTGCTCTCAATGGCTGCCCGGCCCGCTCTCCCAGCTCTTTAAAAATAAATAAATAAATAAATAAATAAAGCCCCCACTCACTGGCTGCTACCAGGCGGAAGGGATCCCC